TTAGCAATTATAAAACGTAATAAATTAATTTGACTAATTTTGATATTCTTTTATTATTTACCAACTCGCAACCTTTTATTTTTCTAAAATAATTTATAAATATTAAATTATATTAAATTTTTTTAAATTAATTAATTTTCAAACCTTTTCAGAATCCTTCGAATTATTTTTACGTTTTCTAATTGGTTCCTAATTAAATAAAAATTATTTATTATTTTGTAAATTATTTGTGATATTTATAAATTAATATTTTATTAAATTAAAATAATTTATACTTTTTCAATTTTATCAGAATCAGATCCTTCTGATTTATCTCTTTCTTCTGTGTTTGCTTCATCTTCAGAACTTGAAACACAAAATTTGCTATCATGCTTTAATTTATTCTATATATTTTGAAACAATTCGAATTAATTTAAATTAATTAAAATTAATTAAAATCTATGTATTATAAAATATTATTAAATACTTACTAAATTTCTTGCAATTAATTTTTTAACTACAGTATCTGACATAGTTATTTTTTCGTATTTTGGGTTGAGCATAGTTTGACTTACGGCTATAGTATATGCTATATTTTCAGGTGAGGATAATTGGTTTGATCTTTTGTTTATTTGCTTGTTCTGCCCATTCTATTATTTTAGATTGGGTTAAGTTGTTGAGTTGTTTGTTATTGCAGAGTAGGTATGTTTCTATTATATAAAATTAGTTTTTGTGTAGTAAGAATATATCAATACTGAGTGCTGTTTCTGGATAGGTTTGTATATTATGTATATATGATTGTAATTTCTTATATAGTGCTATTGCAACTCCTATGCTTGATTCTTGTTTTTTGGCTGTTGTTGTTGTGGTGTTTGATTTATAGAAATAGTTGTAAGTTTGTATATTTTAACTCTGCAAGTTTGGTTTCTGTTATGCTTATTATATCTATTTTTCTTTTTACAGTAGTCGAGCCATAGTTGTCTTTTGATATCATCATTGAGTCTACATATATTATGTAAAGCTAAGTTAATAGTGTCTGTTTATATGTGGTTGTTTGTGTTATATATGTTAGTTGTATGTTCGTTTTTGTTATAGTTTTTTGAGCTTGATATGATTAGACAAAGATGTCCCAAGTTGGTTTTGGGAGAGAAAAAAGTTCTAGAATGTAGTCTGGGATTTGTGGTATTTCGAAGTGCTGTTGAAGTATTGATATCGTGAAGTTAATTTCCTTTTGTTATTAATAGGTATGTTAATGTAGATTTCATCAGTAATTTTTTCAAGTGCTTCTTGTAGTTCAACTAGATTTTTTGGTATCATTAGTTTTTTGTT